ACAATGACGCTGGAAAAGCAAATTTTGTGCAGTGGTAAGGTCATTGTGGGCATTAGTCAACATTCAGAGTGTTGACAGTAATGCCCCTAATACTAGCAATCACCAAAGATATTCATAGCAATAGCAACTATTTGTGTTATGATTTCTTGGTGGGTGGCAAAAGATATGTATAGGGCTCAGGGCGACTTTGCGAGCTGAGAACAGCGACCCCAGATACCGTGACCTAGAGGCCTCGTGTGACACATGGGCTTAAAATAACATCATAGGGACCCTTAGGGGTGTAGGGGGAGGGGGGGTAGGGGGCCTTAATGCCCATAATAAGGACTAATAAGGCCTTGAGGTTTCCTGTTTGAGTTTCGAGTGGGCCGCGAAAGTGAAGGCAGAGGTGTGTGCCTGGCATATGTCGGCACAGCCTGCTGTTTGAAGGGCGGCTTGCTCTTTTGTTTTCGTGAGGGGCCTCAAGGGCTTTAACCTCATGCGTTGCCTGGCGCTGCTAGACCCTCTGGATGCAACATATGCAACGGCAGAGAGAGAGAGAGAGAGAGAGAGAAGGCCTACTTAAGGAAATATAGTCCCCTACACCCCTCCCCCCTACACCCTTAAGGATCCTATGATAACAGGGACTCAGGGCCTACCTGGTTTCCCTTCCTGTTTGGATTCCGACCGGGACATGATATGGCAAGAACAGCCTTTGCACGAGAGCCGCGAGGTCTCGGGATTTCCATGTCCTAGGGCGTTTGAGGCTTAGGGTGGTTTGAGGCAAACTGCTCAATGGCCCATGCGTGTCATTCCGAAGCGCTTCTGAAGGCATCCTGGGCTTGGCTTAACTTTCCCTAGGGCTCCAGTTACCTAAATAGGAGGTTACTAGCCATATCGTATAATATGTAATCCAGTAACCCATTATTGAGGTAACTGGAGCCCGAGCGATTTGGAATCCCTGCGACAGGAATCCTTACGATGGGATCTTCACTAAAGCCGCTTTACGTTTCGGGAAGATGCCGTACTTGGAGGGTCGGGGGACTTAGTAACTGGTTATTTTAGGGACTTATAAGTACCATAACCCCAATTAGGGTCCCTTTTAGGGTACTTATAAGTCTACTTACTACCTACTTACTAAGTCCCCCGACCCTCCAAGTAGCCTGAAGCCGCAGGCGAGCCTGAACCCAAAGTCTGCAAAGCACTGAAGCCATGAACGCCTGTCTGCTGTAGAAATCCCCGAAAACCCTAAGCCCTAAGCGTTAAACAGGGGTCCTAAAAACTCAGGCCTTCAACCCTAAACCCGAAGCCCTAATCCGAAACCCAGTCGAACCTACTTCCTCAGACCTCGCTAGGCTTGCCCGAGAGTGAGGGTCAAAAAATCCGAAAGCCCCATCAAAGCCCAGGGAGGATGGTGGTGCCTGGCGATTGGCAGAGGAGGAGAGTGGTGAGGATGAGATCTTACAGGCAAGTTGTGGGTTCTATTGAGGGCTCCTTTAAAGGAGCTCTTCAAAGAGCCCTCAAGGACCCCTGAAACGAACCCTTCAAACCGTATAAGAGTTGCTAGTCAGCATGGCTTTGGCGTCGAGATCCTACGGACTTGTCTTCTTTCCCTCTAAAAACTTCGCCTGACCTCGCCGCGCACGAGTGCCAAACAACGTCAACCGAGTCAACTCTGCACGTTCCCCACCCTAAACCCTAAACTCTAAACCAAACCCTGCCTAGTGCAAGCCCCGTTTGTGAGGCGGGCTTGGGACCTGCTTTGTTTCGGCGAAGTGGAGAAAGAGTCATTGCACTTTAAAAAAAACCAAACCCGGAACCCGAGACCCTCCGCACTACAACTGTAAAGCCCTCAAGGCTAAGCCAAAAAAAAACCCACACCCCAAAACCCTAAACCCAAGACTAATCGTAAACCCAAGGAGCCTGAGGCCCGAAACCTACTCCCAAGACCTCAAAGCCTTAAACTTCGAAACCCTAAACCCTGCATACCCGCCAGACTGTGATTTGCAGATTGTAGTCCCCAAAAATCCATAATGTTATGCAAGTGTATCCCCCGTCTCGCTCAGATCTCATTGGATTTTGGGAGTGGACCGCTACCGCTACATATAGCATTTGGACTTTAGCATGTCTCCAGATTCATGTCAATGTCCCTCCGTATTTTACACATTCCCAAACAGTTGTTTCACTCAACAGACTTCGAACCACTTGCCTCGCCTGGGTTGCCCGAGTGTGAGCGCCGAAACCCTACACCTCTTCAACCCAACACAAAAAGCTCGAGACAGGTCCGGTCCTCCAACGCAGGTCTCGCATCCTCTGTCCAGGCGTCCGGACACCTGCTTGGCCTCAGCTGCGGGTTCTTACAGCTATAGTCTCGTTTGGAATTATTGTTAGTTCATATAAAATCCAAGAGAATATTCAACATATTTGTTTTTAGTTTTTATTATGGTTCTGAGGGTGGTATAGAAGGGGTCTTAGGGTTGCTTGAAGGGTTCTACGAGGGTTGCTTAGTTCAGGATGTTTCTGGGTTTTGGGGGTTTGGGGTTGCTTGAGCATAGTCTGGGCTTTTTAGGGTAGCGGCACAACCACTCCGTGGAGTGAAGGCTAGCAAACACCGTTAAATACCGCACCATGTCACTACGTTCGATTGATTTAGCTAAGCTTTTTTTTCCCTTCAGCGTGTTGGAGGGCGGGCAATACCCTGACAGCTTCGATGTTCTAAGTTTTCCTCCCTCATGTTCGGGAAAACCTCACTCCCGTTCTGCATGGAGGCCGGCGTCGCCGCTGGCGGCGCATCTCCGCGCTCAGGAACCAGTCGGATGCTGAGAGTGGCGATTAGGGCTCGACTGCGTGTCAGAGCCGGCTTTCTACGTGCAGTCATAGGTTTGGGGGCTCAAGACTCCTTGACAAGCTCTAGTAGTTTGGGACATTTCACCAAGAAGCCTCGTAATTTGGGGGCCGAAGAACTTACCAATACTATTTTGGGGGTTCCTTATTATGGGCTCAAAGCACCCTATTATGAAGGCCCCTACATCAATGGTTGAGGGCCGCCTTCCTTACGCCGGTATGAGCTTCAGCATAAAGGCATCTTGAGGGCCTTCGGAGCCACATTTTGAGGGCCTTCGGAGCCTCAGACCCTCGGCGCAAACAGGTTAGAGGCTCCGTAGTAGTTCCTTTTTGGGGTTCATGTTTAGAACCCTATTAGGTAATCCCAAACAGGAACTATATACTATGGAGCCTATATAGGTACGGGCACATGATTGGTGAATCTCACGTTCTTTTCTATTGTATACTCTCCAGAAGCCTGGAACAAAGTGTACTCACTCGCTGGGTCTCATGGCTTTGTAACCGGCAACATCCACGGCGGTGGTGAGAGCAATATCGCTGTCTGAATAGTCACAAAATAAGTTTGACTGCACACTAATCCAAAGCCTTATTCGAAACATTCAGGACACTGGTTAAGGCCCGTAGATTGCAGGATCCAGTGGATTTCGCAAAACGACCACACGCAGCATGCAGTCATCTACGATGTTCTTTTACTGATGGTGATGAGGTACTGTGGCATCGTACTCCCAGAAGGAGCCTGTCAGCTATTGTTCTTGTCTTGAAGATCGGGGTTGCTCAGCTTCAGCTCCCGGATGACAGTCCTGCCCACTGCCTGGGCCTACCGTGCTCGCCTGTTCAACCGCTCCAGGTCCTATATAAACCCTAAACGCTGAACCGTAAAATGAGTATTTAGGGCTTAGGTTTGGGCATCGCAGGCGGTCAGTCTTGTGCTACCGTTACAGGTCTACGTCTCGCAGTGCTGCTTCCGGCAAGTCGGCAGAGTCTGGGTTCAAACAAGGGGTGTAGGGATTCTTGGGATACAGTAGAAGCCCAAAAGTTGGAAATGGCCTTAATCCGGTTTCCAAGTTTATGGGGTTTGCTGTACGTTGGCACAGCTGTGCGTGCCAGGAGCCGAATCTTGGTTCTGCGGATATCGTCGTGCCAGGGGGCTCCTCCTTGTTGGATGGCCTCAGGTTGGACTCCCTGTCTTTCGCGATGCCTTTCAACTTGGTAGAGCTTTTCTGCTAGATGCGTTGCAGGGCTGGGTACAGTGTTGAAACTTGGATGTGGGACTGTACTGTTCGGCACTCCGTGCTGCGGGGATACAGGCATCCCACCTTAGCTTTAGTGTTTTAGCATCGTAGATTTCGGGACTTGAGTGAAGCTATCGACGGCGCAGTTTGGTCCTAGGCTCTAGGGACAGTGCACTGTGCACTTCTTTGGCAAGGGCATCGTGCTTCTTGCTGTCGTCATGTCTTCAAAAGAATGCAAGACTAGCAGTTCAGGCCCCTAAACTGCAGTGGCTGGCATGAAGGAAAGCCCAGCTTCGAAATACGTTTCTGGTTTCAGATGGAGCTCCTAGAGCTTTGCCAATTCAGGCTTTGTATTTCAGTAGATGGCTGTCAGATGACTGGGCATGCTTTGGTCTTTTTGAAGCACACATACGCCTACAGCCGTTGTTGATAGAGCGCAGTTTTGTTGAAGTGAGGCAGGGGTGCGCGCTAAGCTCGACAGCGAGGTAAGCTCGATGCCCCAAAACCCCAAACAATCTACAGGAAACTCACCCTAGGAAGGAGCCCCTAAGCCACACGAAAGCGTCCGACAATGCAGGAAGGCCAACGTAGACCCGGTGCCAGACCCTTGATAAGACGCTCAATACAGTATAAGCTTACAGGGTTTCGGTTATGAGGTACTCTTCATTTGTAAGAAACCACCCCCGTCTCCGCCGGGAGAGGCTGCTGCTGGTGCACCATCTCAAGGGCAGTGCCGGCACGGACCGACCCGGGTGCCGAGCGTTTTCGGTCTCCTAGAGTTTTGGGGCTTTCGGGTTCGGATGTGTGTTTTACGAATCAATCTTACCTTTGGGTTTTAGGGCTGAGTAGAGGCCATGAGGCTGCAGGGTTTGAGGGCGTGCTTTGGGGTGCTAGCGGCTTCGGGTCTCAGACCTTGCATGGATGAAGACTTCTGCCGTGCATGACTGGTCATAGCGATGGTCCTTCAGGTTTGATCGAGTACGAACTTCCACTGAAAAGCTGTCGAATTGTTATCTTAGAGTTGCTGCATGTTTTTTAGTGTCATCTAACCCAACCTTATCTAGTCACTGTAGTCCTCTCTTCTCGACTTATCGAAGTGCACACTTCGCCATATTCCGCATGCTTTTAGTCCCTGCATCGTGACACATCAGGATGTTTTTTTCTTGATTGCTTATGCTTATGGAATGCTGCGTACTGCCAACCACAGCAGCCACCTGCCTGGTCGGGGTTGAGGATCATGATATTTAGAGGGTTTCGCACCTACTCAAGTGTCACCAAGTGCTTCCACAGCCCTCACGAATCAAGCTCCCCCTGCAGGGTCTTTCGCCGTTCGCACTAGGCACTTACACGGTTTTATACCCGGCGGGCATGGAAGTAGGTAAGCGCTGACGAGGATCAGATCAGCCTCACCACCGGCCAGGCTGAGTTGCAGCTCACCCGCAGGAAGTATGGAGTGCTGATGTCTGGAGGTTCCCAGTGGCCTACCGACTACGCCTCCCCCCTTGACATGCCGCAACCCCTAATTGATCTAGAAGTTTTTCGTCGCCTTCAATTGAAGGCCCATGGATTCATAGATTGTAAGGTGGTGGTTGGTTGGAGTGCATCAGCTACAAGTAGTGATGGACGTGATTTTGAAGCAGAATCATAATGACCCGCGGTCCTGGACAAAATTTCGGGCTTGTTTTGAAGTCCCCAGCCCAGGCCCCCCAAAACCCAAACGCAACCAGTATGGTCGCGGACTTGTGTGGCTAGGCCAAAAGTGCACATTACAATACGACACTTTACGATACTGTGCTATACTGTTTTATGGTTACAGCATGATATGCCGTGCTATATCCCACTATACCATACCATCCTACACCATAGTATACCGTACTAAACTATACTATACCCCACTACAAGCCCGCTAAACTATGCATACTACTATTCCATACTCGACCAGACCATACCCCACTATTTCGTACTAAACCACACAACACCATATTATAGTATACTATCAAAGTAAAGCATGCGATATCATACCTCTGCTTCAGTCCCGACCCTAAACTGGAACCCCAAACCCCAAACCCTAACGGTAGCTGTATCTGGTGATATATGCCAGTCGCTTGTCAACGAGAGACCAGGATCGCTACAGACCTTGCCCGGCTTCGTCCGAGTGTGAGTGTCAAAAAAAAACCCTAAACCCTAAACCCCTAAACCCCTAAACCCTAAAACCCTAACGCCGAGGCTAGAGCACCATCTCTCCAGGCTCGCCTCCTATGCGCAGAAGATCGCAGCTGGGTGGCAGGACGCGGCGCACCCATAATATACGGGCCTTAATGATTGCCTATACTATTTTGGGCGTTCCTTAGTATAATTTACCCCAAAACCCTATTCTAATTAGCACACTACGGCCCCTAGGGTTTTGGGTTTAGGGTTTGGGGTTCAGTGTTTAACTCCAAGATCCCCAACAAGCCCGGTTGCACACAAAGGGTTTAGGGAGTTTAGGGTGCAAGTTCTGGCCACCTTCCTTGGAGACCAGATGCAAAAGAGAGTTTGGGGGAGTTTGCGAGTTGCTTTTGTTCTGAAGGAGGTGTGCTTTCTTTCTGCGAGGGCTTCAAGACCACATTCACTTTGTTGGGTGCACCTTTTGCTTGAAGCAGGTGTATAGACTCGAAAACTCGGCCCTTGGACATGTAATTGCATAGCCGTGAAACCTGTTTCCTCGTCGAAAGTGCTCTGGTAGGTAAGATAGGCAGTCATTCGCAAGAAGAAGCTGGAGTTGTTCACTCGCGCCCCTCGTCTTGGAATGATGCGCAGCCCTGTTGGACTAAGGTTCATACTCTGGCTTTTGCCACGCGATTTCTGTCTTCGCAGCCTGTTGCAGAGGAGCAAAGCCTGGGCCCTACAACAGTTTGGCATACTATAGGGGCCTAAATAATGAATTACCACTACTATTTTGGCGGTTCCTTGTGGTAGTAGGCCTATAGGATTAATTGCTGGCACTACCTAGTCTGAAAGCTTCCGTACCTAAGTGTTTTTCTTGCATCCTGATTTCTATCCCACTAAACATGGAACTCCCAACGCCGAAACGGCAGAAACAAGTAAAGAAGCCTTAACACGCGACCTTCGGAAGTTTGAACTCGGAAGACGCTCGACTTGAGGACAGCTCTGCTTCTCCAATCCTCATCTTGACATAAAGCAGCAGCAGCCTTTCGTAATGATTTTTGAAACCGTCATCAACCTTACCTGGGCCTAGCAATGTCTTGCCGAACTCTAAACCTAATTCCTCAACCCTAAACCCTACTCTAAACTAAACCTTCGAAAGGCCCGGCGGCAGGCAGCGTTCCTTTGGCCGGAGATGAGAATGCGGATCAAGGTGGCGCAGCACAACGCCCAGCACCAATCTACAGAACACCATTATAACCCTTAATTTCGCTCGCCACACAAACCTGCAGTCTGAAAGGTCAGGGTGTTTTGAAACATTGGAGTCTTTACAGCCCACGCGCTGAAGCTCTCCAAGAAGCAGGGAGGTTTTGGGGAGTTTTGGGGCGTAGTTCATGTGTGGTCCCAGAGCCCCTAAAGCCTCTCGCTTAGAAGAAGAAGTCCTAGCCAAAGAAGTCCTAATGTAGGAACCTGATTAAGAAACCCCTGGGCCTATATCCTCCAAATAGTAGGATTCATATAAGGAATCTAAATAAAGGCCCAAGGTTTCTTAATCAGGTTCCTACATTAGCAGGTGGTGGCAGGAGGGAGACCGTCCCAGTCGAGCCTCGCAAGCGAACGACGTTGCGTTTGAAGGCTCGCGGCCACTCTTCGCTTGTGGCACACAGGGTGTAGGAGCCTTAACAATTGCCAAACATATTGGGGGAAAATTTTTTTCCCCAATATGTTTAGTGTTTCATACTATTCTTGGGGGTTCCTCATTATAATAGTAGTATAATGTGCCCCGAAACCCTGTAAGGCCCCTAGATTATGGGTCTGGAGTTTGAAAGCCTAAGCGGCCTCGGGATGCCCAGGGCATGGCAGGGGCGTTCGATGGTTCAGGATTTGGGGGTTTAGGAGCAGCGTTCAGCATATCACCGCAAACCGAGAACCATGGGCTCCTTGACACCCATGAAGCCCTATGAAAACCGAGACCACGAACCGAGCTCAGGTCCTGAACCCATGAAAGCCCTGAGCCCTCAATTTTGCCTTCCGCTGTTCTGGGAATGGCCCTAGACATCACTTCACCAATCCCTAAACCCAAGTCCCAACGATCCTATTGTACACCTCACTTGCAGGATCGGGAGTTGCTGCAGATCTACCGCAGTGCACAGATCGAGGCGCGCATTGCGCTTTGAATGGGCTCGGGTTTCATCTGCAGGGTTTAGGGTTTAGAGTTTAGGCAGGGTTTGAATGTCTGTTTTCTGAATCCGATCGCGGCTGACGGACCTCCGTTATCTTCCGTGAGCGTTGTTGGGGTCAACATGTTACTTTACTGGCCTTAATAATTACCTATACTATTTTGAGGGTTCCTTGTTATAATTATAGTATAATGGCCCCAAAACCCTATTCCAATTACTAAGGCCCCTACATTAGGGATTGTGCTACTTGGCCATGGTGCTGGCGCAGAAGCTAGCGTTGTAGGCAGAGCGTCATTTGCTACTGTGTGAGCTACTGTGTGATAGATAAACCTATGCTTGTACAGTGGTGAGGCCGGCCTGGAATTTCAACAGGGATGTTGTTTCGGAAAGGCTTTCCAAACCGAGAGCCTGCATGAGCAACGATGCCATCATTCAAAAAAAGATGTCATTTCTTGAGGTTTAGGGTTTGGCGGTGCAGGATAATAGGAACGCCATAAGAAGCCAGCGAGCTGGAACGGGAGTAAAATTCCGGCGGCCCGACATCTCAGCACATCGAGGGAAGCCGCACAACCTAGCACCTCCTCCACGTTTCAGTTCCATGTATACGTATATACTCTAGTTCGTATATGTACACATATTTTGTTTGTATTCATGCATGTATGTATGCATGTCTGTACGTATGTATGTATGTATGTACGTGAATGGGTGGCTCCTGATGTGTACAGAGAAGTCACGGTAGCATCGCGACGACGACGAAAGGAGTTACTGCAACCAGCAGCAGCACCATGTTTCTGTTAATCCCCGCGCGAACCTTCAGGAAGCAGCAAGACAATGCTTGAAGAATTCTGACTGGCAAGTACAGATGTAGACATCGAAGTAATAGTAGTTCACTATGATGATCATGATGGTGACTTAGCCGTGTATAGCTCAACTTGAGCTTGGAGTTTTCAGTCCTAGCCCGCGACCTCCGAATCGGGGTTTTTGGTATTGGGATCATTGACCGTTGAATCCCGAGATTCAGCTAATCCCCACAGAAGCTCATGTACATCCTGGCCTATTCAGCCAATTTGGACAACCAAGCCTTACAGCCTTGATCCTGCTCAGAAGCCCGGGAGAATACCCCACATGAAGCCCATAAAACACATTACTAGTGCAGCTATCATGAACTTATAACTATTATGACATACAACCATCATAACCAATACTTAACTACTATAACTTATAAAAGCCCTCTAAATCCTTGCAAAGCCCTAGTAAAACAATCACACGCAGGCCTCCAAAGAGGCCGACTGGAGAGGCCTGGGCGTCGCCTCGCCGAGCCGCAGCGAGGGAAGCATCGTGGCATCATCGGGCCATGCCCAGAGAGCCCAATACCCCTTAATTAGGGAATATAGCTTAAATCATAATATTAATCCCCTTATAATTTAAGGTATATTCCTTAATTAAGGGGTATTGGGCTCTCTGGGTGGTAAGTGGGGTTTCGGGATTATAGGGTTTAAGGTTCAGGGTTTGGGGCTGATAGGGTTTGAGGTGTAGGGTTTACAGGCTTTACGGCTCAGGGTTTAGGGTTTATAGGGTCTTAGGTTCAGGATTTAGGGCTTACAGGGTTTGAGGTGTAGGGTTTACAGGCTTTAAGGCTCTGGGTTTAGAGTTAATAGGGTTTAAGGTTCAGGGTTTTGGGCCCATGGGGTTTAAGGTGTAGGGTTTACCGGCTTTAAGGCTGAGGGTTTAAAGTTTAGGGTTTATAGGGTTTGAGGTGTAGGGGTTCCTGTTTCGGGTTTATTAGATTACAGTCATGGTAATGTAGGGGTAGTTGCCATGCTATTTGGGGGTCCCTTATTGTAATTGAAGTATGATGGGCCCCAAAAGCCTATTCTAATTATTCTAATTATCAAGGCTCCTATATCAATGTAAAAGTAGGTAAAATAATTGCCAAATACTTATTAACCGTCTGTTATTCTACACACTTTTGGAGTCCAGGTGAGCCCAAGCCCACGAAGCGTCGCCACGTGGTCGTTGTTTGGTTAGTTTGTATTTCTGTATCTGTCTGCATTTATCTGTCTGATTCTGTTTGTGTATTTGTTTGTCTGTACGTCTGTATATATGTATATATATATATATGTATATATGAGAGAGAGAGGTACCCCTAGGGTTCATTTGACGACTCCGTTCTTTGCTTATACGGAGGGATGAATTAAAATACTTGAATTAATTAAACGCAACTGATTTTAGTTAACTCAATTATTTCTATTCTTTCCGAGGCCAAATAAATAGTTTAAAGCAGCTGAATTTAGTTATTTCCATTATTTGGGATCGGAAAGAATAGAAATAATTGAAATAATCAAAATCGGCTTTCTTTGAAGCTGCGGAACCAGGATCCCCACAATTTTGAATAATCGAAACAACTGAAATAATTAGAATAAGCTGATTCTAACTATTTCTTTTATTTCTCTTATTTGGATTTGAAAATAATAAATACTTCAATTAAAACCAGCCGATTTTAGCTGTTTCTATCATTTCGCTTATTTAAAATCCGGTGAATCCTGCCTTGGCAACTTAGGAGGAAGCAGAGTTTTCATCATTTCTATTATTCGGGACTGGAAAGAATAGAAATAATTGAAATGAATAAAATCGACTTTCCTTGAAGCTGCGGAACCAGGATCACGACTATTTTGCATAAGTGAAATTTCAACTAAGATTAGCTGATTTTTTGATTGATAATCTTTCCATTATTTGGAACAGAAAACAACTAGAATAAATAAAGCCGGCCGATTCAATTATTTCTACTACTTCTAGTATTTCGATTATTAAAACAATCCGGTGAATCCTGCCTTGCCAACCTAGGAGGCAGCATATTTCTATTATTTCTATTATTTGGGACCGGAAAGACTAGAAATCGAAACAACGAAGTGGTTTCAATAGGAGCACATTGGACATGTATTTCCATTGGCATGTGTATTGCACACCCGTGCCGAGATACGAGATACGATTATGTTAAAAGTAAAACACACTAAGCGTACCAAGACTGAAAAATTGAGGTTGTCTCAGTAGGGAAGCATCGCAAGTGTGTTCCCGCTGACATGGGGGTTGCACACTCGTGCCGAGTTACTAGATGCTATCATGCATGATGATGCACATATACGCAGCTGCTTGGTAGGTTGCCAACATCCATGTGGCATGTTAGAGTTGTCTGTACACATTGTTCATGCATGTATCTGTGTGAGCTGTATCACGACTTATTATTATTGTTCAGCTATTTATAATACAACAGCGAAAAACTCTGACGGACTCACAAACTTTTCTGCATGATACAAAAGCTTAAATCCAAATGTCGCGTTTAACCTTATTATTAGATATGCATATCACAAATCCCAGGTGAATAGTCCCTATAACGGTATCGGGCTCATACATATATTATATATATAGAAGTGTTTTGTGCATCCTAGGCACTGTGCAGGCGGTCCGGAACAGCCGAACAAGGATCCCCCGCAAGATGCTAATCGTAAAGCCTGACTGTCAATACCAAATCCCTTCCAGGTTACCCAACTGGACGACACTTCTTGTGTAGTTACTGCCTCCGAGGTGACTTCAGCGATGTGTCACAGCTCTCCGCCCTTTACCAAGGCAGGTGGCTCGCGCACGTGCAGCGCCCATAAGATCGAGTGGCCCAGAGCCGGAAAAGCATAAGCCCTGAAGCACGGACCCGCGGACCCGCAAGCAACTCCCATATCATAGACCTTCATATAACCATTATAGAAACTCGCAGATCTAATTGTCCTTTAAGGAATTAAGGAAGCTTAACGCCTAAGGAACCCATGATGTTTCTGTTGAGGCGCCACGACGCAGGGCTCGGACGCGGAGTTGCTCAAGGCAGCCAGTTGCATTATTCTTTTTTTGGTTCTGTTTGTGATTTGAAGTTGAAGGGTCTCTATTCTTGTCAAGGGGTTTGGGTTTAAGGCGAGTTGGGGGCAGGAGGTTGCAAGCGTTTTCTACCCTTAGGGCCTTTACTAGTAGCAATTTAAGCAACCACGATGTATTGTTTAGGAGCGCCTCGAATCGACAGATGCAAGCAAGCCGCGAACACTTCGTGGGTGATGATATACGAAGTGTGAGATCGATGCATATATATATATATATATCATGTAACTCATGTAACTATTTGTTTGTATGTAATTGTACTGTATGTATTCAAACATGTACATGTACATATATATATATATAACTGTAGAACCTATCTGTATGAAACATAAAATGTATGTGAGTACTTCGTAGGGTCTTTTATTGCATACTAGTATCCGTATGAAGAGTTATCATGAACAATTTGCGACTGCTCTTCCGGCAGTTACCATGTCTGTCAGTTTTTCGACAAATTCTGGCAATCGCGGTTTGGGGCTTGTTTGGCTCGGTTCGTATGCAAGGACTTTGTCAGATATTTGGAGGGTTTTTGGGTTGTAATGACGGTTCAAAGTCTGAGGTCCTTGCGTGAGTGCTTTGGGACAACCGAGGAATGCAGACGACGATCAACACCACTACGTTTTATTTGGTCAGAAATAGTGCTGTTCCTCCTTTTCCCTGACTTCGACAATCTCCGATTGTAGGCGCTCAGCCGTGCCATGCGCGAACCTGGTCGCAGCCCGGAGGCGCTTGCTGCGGAGATTGCACCCTGGCTGCAGTGTGAGCCGCGTGGGTGCTTGGTGCAATATTTGTTGCTGGTGCAGAGTAGTCGCAGTGTGCGCTTCCGACCATTTGAATAGGGTCACTGCTCCCGGCCTTGAGATATGAAGCTTGGAAGGCCAGACATAGGGGATTGAAGGCAGGCCGGACCACACAAGACTCTGCTTTGATCCTACTTGCTCCTTCCTGCTCAAGTCTCAGTTTGTCGCTGCTAGCCTCCATACCGAAGCCCCACAGAGCTTCTTCGTCATGATGCACTTGGGGTGGGCCTTCCTTCAGCTTCTGCTTGCACCGCAGGCCCTCGCAGAGAGCTCAGTGCCCCTGCTTCGGGGCTCCCCACGCGGTCTTGCAGAGCTTCCAAGCTGTGCGGAGAAGCCCAACTTCCATTTGGCACGCGCTTCGTGGTGTGGAGAGCAGAAAGAGCCGGTAGCGTGCGCCAAGGACTCGGAGAGTCCCAATCCCATCTGGGACTGCCATCTACAGGCCGATGCTTGGTGCTCCTTGGGCGGGAGCCCCTGTTCTTGGCCCGCAGGGGCTCCTCCCAGAGAGGTGTCCAGCGATTGGCAGAATCAGAACTCGCAGGGTCAAGCTACGCGCTTTGTCACCTGGAACCTGTATGTCTTCACACTGGCCGGTCGCATCCATCCGGTCGTGGATGAGCTGCTGCGAATGCAGCCAGAGATTGCGGCCATCCCAGAGATGTGGCACGAGAAGGGCGCCATCCTGGATCTACTCAACCAGAGGTCCGGCAATGTTTGGGCTTTTGCCACAGGAGGGCCCACCGAGCAGTTCAATGATGCAGACATCTTGTTCAGGACACACGTGAGAGCATTAGGGAGTTGCCCAGGGGGACCTTATTTAACGAGCTGTTTGCAAGGATCCTGGTTTCGGGTTCCTGTGTCAGGACTGACAAGTGGGAGCACATTGCCAGCGACCTCGTTCCGTTCTCGGCCGGCCGCGCGATCAACTGGGCAGCCCTGAGGCGAAAATCCGATGGCTACTCGCTCATTGCATCCGGTACGCATCCTCTCTGCTGTCAGGGCGACTACGTCATCACGGAGGCGGTGGATTTCGTGACTAAGACCCTCAGTCAGGTGCAGAACCAACACCCATACCCCATCGTCCTTATGGGGGATTTGAACACCGGCTACTTTCAGCCTTCGCAGCAGCTTTTGAGACAAGGGCAGGTGGAGGCCTTCGGACGCCATTGGCAAATTCCAATGACCTTTACAGATGCTGGGTTGTCCTTTGGGACTTTTTTTAATTCCCCCTAATATTTTGTAGAGAATCATAATAGCAAATAATTTTCAAAGGGCTTAAATAAAGGACAACTCAGGATGCATGGGCAGAGCTTCATCCCGGCAATCCGGACCCTTCCACGATCAACGACGACCCGGTGCGACTGGACTATGTCTACTTTCAGAAGCTGGGCTCTGGAGCACCGTACTTTAATACTTTTTTGGGGGGCCTGATACTTAAAGGGAGCCAGTAATTATGAAACAAGAAAAGTCCATACTTTTCCTCCCTGGTTACTTCAAAGCCCAGGAAGACGCCGTTTTCCGTTGGCCAGTCTATCGTACAGTCCCAAATCTGGCCGCGCGCCGCCGGCAGCGACCACCGCGCGGTCTCCGGGGATGTCGTGCTCAGCCGGTGAGAAGCTTGCCTGCAGCTGTGGCTGCCCTAAATCTGACATTCAATGCATGAAATTCGTATCTTGGAGCATGCCGCCTCCGGCTGGCATGCTGTCTAGACTTCTGTTTTGGAAGATTGCTCCTTGACATGGACCCTGCATGGAAGTACTCCCGGTTCAGTCCAAGTTCACCATCTGATTTGGGTTAACTTCTTGAGTCCACGGCCGCTAGTGGCCGTTGTGACGTAACACTGGCGGTGTGGCTGCGAGTTGGCTGTAGCCTTATAGTAGCCGTAGCGGCTTTTAGAGCGGCGTGGACCAGGAGTACCAGTGGAGGAATTTCGCACGCATAGCCTTCCCAAATACGCAATAACTGCTTGCCCGGATCGGGCCCAATTCGGTCTTTTGGATGTGTCATGATGGGTGACGCATCGCGACTTTGTAAGCTTGGCACTGTTGCTCAGCAATAGTTTTGAGCCACTCTTCCGCTGAAGAACTCTTTGTAGGCGGCGGCGTTCTCAGACTGTCCTCCAGGCCAGCACCATTCTGACGGAAGCACTTCCAAGTCAAGTCCTAAACCCCTAAAAATGAAACCGAGAGTCCCCTGGAAGCAGAAGGCCTGGCGTCGGCTGAAGGTTTGTGGTACCTCTGCAGCTGCGATGCTGCTTTGAGCTGAGTTGCGACATGGGAGCTTCTCAAAGGCGTTTCACAAGCCCTAGGGCCCTAGGGTTTAAATCTGCCTGGTGTAAGAGAATAAGAGTGATTTTTGTGAGAAGCTCCCAGATCTACCATGACAAAAGTCTTGGAACCCTGGTCAGTGTAAAAATTGCGTTTGGGGGTTCATGCGTCCTGGGAATTCGTAATACCCAAAGCATCCACTTGCAGCGCCTACCCCGACCCTCCAGCATCATTTAAGAAAGACATATATACATAACTGATATGAGGGACCCCGCCAAGTTTTAAGGTATATTCCAGATTTAAAGGATGTTGGACGCTGTCGGCAAGTATCGAGTCCCGTGTAATGTGCACAATCTGACACTGTTACGTTCTTGGACGCTGCTTATCTTGGCCTCGTAGTTCCCTTCTATGGAAGCCTTACAGTACCTATAGTCTCCATTGTTGTTCCTTTTTGGGGTTACCCTTTAGGATCCTTAATAAAAAAAAATTGGTTAAACCAGAAAAAGGAACCACAATGGAGACTAGAGGTAACCCTGATCTTCAGGTGGATTCCTCTGGCGGCTTTGGCTGCTGCCAGACCCAGACACTCGGCCATGACCCAGAGCTGGTCTACAGGTAATGGCTTAGGGATCTTGAGGGTTTACGGTTTGGGGTCTATATAGGGTGGTATCGCGCCTGTTACTAGGTATTATCAGTTATTCGGTTCCTAAAAGAATAGTAGTTCGTTCAGTGTTGGCATGAATCTGTCTATGATGGTGACAGTCAGTATGGTCATTATTTTGTCATCGTGTTCACAATAGAAGTTTCATATCGTTAAGTGCGATTTGTTTTGGTGGGTGGGGAGGGGTGGGGCGAGGGTAGAGTCAAGTCTGTAGTGGGGTTGGGTTTTCGTGTGCGGATGCATGTCGACGTACATGTTGCGACTTGCTTAGCAGGGGTACTGGCTTGTTCAAACACGCTGTTGATGAAGTCGAGGGCCCGCGTCACCATCGGGCTCTCATTCTTTGAGGGCTGTGCGGGCTCCTTATGTTTATGTGGTCTTTTGGCCCCTGCACTTTTGAGGTGTGCGGTATAAGGTCTGACTCAAAATGGTTCTCATGTTCTGGTTTGGGAGGACTTGATCAGGCTTCTATGTGGGTCGCGGGGGTCAGGTTTGAGGGTTGAGTGATGTTGAGAGTCTAGAGCGCTCGAGGCTTACGACTCAGTCAGCTAGGGATTTAGAAGGCTTGAATATTCACTCGGAGTGGGTTGCAGTCCTAGTCCTCCAAGCTTGTATAATCTCTCCTTTCCATAGTACAGTAATCCCAAAGCACTGTCACCAAAATTCTGACCATCCTGGAGAAAGCGCACTTCTTTCAGTGGCCTGCCCTTGGTGTTCGTTTCTAGCAGTGAGTAGGGTTGGCAATACTACCGACTGCAACACGAGCCCTGGAGGTTTCCCGAAACGGCCGGTAAACCAAGTCGTTTGCGAAGCCCTGGCCCTAGGGATCAAAAGAGTTTAAAAGCCTTGTATAGTATGGTCTTTGGGCGCCAAGCCTTAACATATGAGTCCTTAGATCCCTAGGGTGGATGGAAGTAATGAAGGAGGTGATCTAAGCCCAAAGCGAAACCTAGACCCCAAACATCCCCGAACCCTCACCTCGAAAACCCATTTCAGGAAGGGCATTGCTGCGAGGGAGGCGATGGGCAGTGGCAGTGACAAAGGTTCTGGTTAGGGAGTATAGGGGGATAGCTATACCGTAACATCCTAAAACTCCCTTAATGCCAGACCCCGAACTCTGGGATATTGTATCCCTGTCTTCAGGGCTCGATCGTTCTTAGTGTGTTTTTGCTGGGCTGTACTCCGATAAATCCTTTGTGCCCCCTAGCCCTACCCATAACCTATAACTGGGTTGTCCTTTGGGATCTTTTTCAACTTCCCCTATTAGCCATAATAGTAAATAATTTTCAAAGGGCTGAAAGGACAACTCAGATAAACCAGACTTGAACTGGAAACCCTCTGGTTCTCCTCATCGCCCTGAACCCCCATACACCTCAAGCTCCAGGCTCTAAACTCTCAATCCCCTAAAGCCCTACTTGGACCCCAAGCGTATGTAGGATAACAGCCTTTTGTAGCTGTTGGGCCTTTTACGTTGCGTACTACTGCGGGTTTAGGCAAACGCTTAACCCTAAACATTATCCCCTAAACCCTATAAATCCGCAGAAAAGGAACTCAGCAACAAAAACAAACCAATAAATCCTAGAAGCCCTATAAACCATGCCTTCTTTGAGACCGCTGGGCCAGGTTTAGGGTTTGGGGTTTAGGGTATGCAAGGATCTGGCTGGTCCCCAGGCCCAGTGGCAAAAAAGGGTTGAGGGGCTTAGGGTTTACGGTTCAGGGTAGTGTAGTAGGGCCCTGGGAGAAGCAGCATAGGTCTTGCGTATATTCCGAATCTTCTGGACATGAAAATTCGACTCAAGCTCCGGAACCTAGATCTACGCTGAATTCCAAGCCCTCGTCGTAAAACTCGCAATGACAAAAAGGCCCGAGGCAGAAACGAGCAGAAAGCACCTGAGGCTTCCAAACGTTTTTGGGGTTACCTGGACCCCAAAAGTATGTAGTACAGTTTAGGGTTTAGAATCAAGGCCTTTTGTAAGTATTGGGCCATTATTTTCCCTACTTTCAGGGTAGAGCTTTCGAGATCCAGCTTCCAGCCCCGATACACCCTGAGCCAGGCGCGGGGCGCTCGATCCTCTATGGTGCGATGGCCACAGTCACCTCCAGATCCAGGAGGTCGGCTTGAGGGTTTAGAGCGGGAGGTATCAGGGAGGTTGGCAATGCCAGTGGAACTCTGAAACAGGATAAGCCTATATCACAAGCTGAGGATAGATCCCCCCGAGACGCACACTAGTGTGAAGAGACGCCAAAAATCGTTCGCCGCTGCTACTGCTCTGCTCCAAGGTGCTGAAGTTTCGTATGCACCGACACGCATGCTTTCTTCTCATCGCTCATACTTTGCGCGTCGGTGCTAGTTACACGCCAGGTGACGGTCACTGCCGCCAGTAGCACCGTTCGTGCGCGTGCTGCTCCCAAGCTGGTTGAACGTTTCTATTTCCTACCTATAGTCTCCATTGTAGTTCCTTTTTGGGGTTACCTTTGAGGATCCTTAATATAAAATTGGTTAAACCAAAAAAAAAAGGAGCTACAATAAAGACTGTAGGTAAGCTCAGCTGAAACACCAACCTTTGGAATTCCTCGAACCTGAAATCCTGCATGTAGCTGGATGGTTTCAGGCATTAGGGTGCAGCCCCAATCCTCAAACCCCAAAAGCCCGAAGCCTAAGCTCATTCAACTGCGGTAGGCCCCGAACTTGGGCTCTAAGTTCTCAACCTGTAATCCTTCTTTCGCGCACATTTAAATGGAGAAGCGACAACCACCCTTGTTACTACCATTGCAGTTCTAGGGCTTGCCAATATCATGGTTTTGTCTGCCCGCCTCTGGACCCGACAAACCCAAAATTCTAAACCCCTAAACCCTTGGCACAAGTGAGAATCGCTCTTGCTCCTTTTTCACACCGACTCCGCACCTAAGAACCTCGCCTGGCTGTGTCCGAGTTGTGAGAGCGTAAACCCCTACACTACACCCTAAACCCCTAAACCCTAAACCTGCTGGTGTTCGGCTCCGCCAGGTCGGCCCTATGGGAGGTCCTGAGGCCGTCTCTCACACAGAGCCCGGTTCGCATTTTCAGCCGGGTGAAAGATTGTTGGATGATGCTGCAGGTCCGACTCGTACTACTACTACTCCTCCTCCTCCTCCTCCTCCTCCTCCTCCTACTACTACTACTACTACTACTACTACTACTACTACTACTACTACTACTACTACTACTACTACTACTACTACTACTAACTAGTACTCCTACTACTACTAACTACTACTACTACTACTACTACTACTACTACTACTACTACTACTACTACTACTACTACTACTACTACTACTCCTACTCCTCCTACTCCTACTCCTACTGAAACTCCTACTCCTACTGAAACTCCTACTCCTACTCCTACTGAAACTCCTACTCCTACTGCTACTGCTACTGCTACTGCTACTGCTACTGCTACTGCTGCTAGTACTGCTGCTAATACTGCTGCTACTGCTGCTGCTACTGCTACTGCTACTTGCACTACCACTACCACTACTACTACTACTACGACGATGATGACGATCATGATGATAGTCATGAACAGTGGGATATCGGAATCTACAGTCACAAATGGTACTAAGAATATTTATGCTGATGATGGTATTGATAACAGTAGTGAAATGCTAGGTAAGCATAACACTAAAAGACTGAAAGACTAGG